ATACTGGAGCGTTCAGTAGAGCCCAAGCGATCGGATAGATCACAAAACATCTCCCAAAGAACAACTTGCCAATGCTAAGTAGGGCGAAGCCCAAGCTTCGTCCAGAATCTTTGAACTCCTACTCTTGATCAATTTTCTTAGTAAAAAATATGTATTTCTCAAAGCTAGGAAACCCCAAAATTTTTTAAACTATTCACTCAAATTTTATCTTGTGAGCAAAATATTGCAGGTCACTATTACTCCAATTTAATCTTTTTTAACATTCATATTTTCAATTTTATTTATACGTACACGATCCACTTTGTATTACAAACAATGAAACATCAAGGTTCCACATATTTACAGTTTTACCAATGTATTTTTTATTAAAATTCATATGATTCATCCATTTTCAAGTGATTAACGGTCAAGGTTTTTTCATAGAAAGACCACTTTTTACTTGAACCTAACCCTATATATATGTGCGTGATTGTGTGTGAGTGTGTCTCTATATGCATCCCAATGCCTTACGTTAACTTGGGCAAGGTATTAGAGCAAGGTAGCAAATTGGCGAGTGCGAGCAGGTTGATAGTTCGTCCCGAGAGATTTGGGCACGCTATGGTTACTTGGAGCATGCATGGTATGGTTATTTACCTGTAATTTATTAATTTTATGAATAATGTTTCCCTTGATAAATTTCAAAACATTACACAATATGTGTACAAATAATACACACATATGTGATCAAAATGTATTTAATATGACCAACTTATCGAAAAATTCTACCGGGAACCGTCTCAAATGGCGACGGTCGGACAGAGCCTTCTATATAAGGGGTTGTGATTTGCACTTTTTAATTTAATTTTTTTAGAACTTTAATATGATGGGAAATATAATATGATGGGAAATATGATATAATTAAGGGAGATCTTATAGAAACTTTGTTTAAGAGAAATGTTGCAGAGTTAGGCTTACGTCAAACTTCATACATGTAAAGCCACGATCGACTGATTTGGGATGTGTAATATAAAGAAAGCTAAGATTGAATTTTCCATAAATAATCATTATTTATATATATATATATATATATATATATATATATATATATATATATATATATATATATATATATATATATATATATATATATATCTTTCCACATGTCTGTGTTGTGTGTTCTTAGTTAGGTATATGGTGTCGCATAATTAAATCTCTAATCTCTATACTATGCTTGATATGTATTAGTTGCATGCGTCATTATCATATCATAACCATTTCATTTATTAGCGCACACATATACATATACGTAGTATCACATTACACTTTACCCACGTTGATCGGCATTCTACTATTTTGTTAAGCCCCCAAGGATTTAAAGTACTTTAAATCCAAGAGTGCCAATAATAAATAGTTTTATTCAAATCAAATAATTTAATTAAGGAAATATTCTCTTAGCACCCAAGGATTTGAAATAATTTATAATGTGCGAGTACTACGTATTATACTTTAGCTTTGCATTCATATACTCCCTCCGTCCCGAAATAATTGTTCTGCTTTCCTTTTCGGTCCGTCCCGAAATAATTGTCTACTTTCCTTATTTGGTAAACAAATCTATATAAAACAGTGTCAAAAAGTGCAAAACAATGTCAAACAGTGTCGCTACAGTGACAAACAGTGTCGCTACAGTGCCAAACAGTGTCGCTGCAGTGTGAAGTCAACTTTGTTTTTTTAATTTGTGTGAAGGTCAAAACCGGACGATTATTTCAGGACGGAGGGAGTATATATATAATGAATGATTTGCAATTTGAAAGTATCTTATATTTTAGATTGCACCAACACCAGTATTCATAATAAATTAAATATACTAAGGTCATTGATAGATAATGTGATTGATGACTATGGGGCAAACTTTAATTTAAGAAAATGAACCTCATTCTTTAATTTAGAGCATATTTATTCATGATCTCTAATAATTAATTTTTTCTATGATTCTTACCATTTGAATATTGTTATATAATTAATTGTAAAATAATCTCAAAATTCGTTTATGTCTCTCAATCATCATATTCAAATAATCTATTTTTTCTCTGTCCGGCATTAATCTCTATTACATATACTTTTCAAATAATCTTAAAATAATACGGATTCATATTTCGATTAATGAGGATGCCCTTAGATGAGATAATTTACACCATTTATCATACACGTCATATGTCATTGTCACACTACAAAAAAAACCACGGGATTGACAGAGATTTTGGCAGAGAAATGTCAAATTCGTGCCAAAAACATTTTGACACGACCTATTTGGCACAAAAAATCGGTAAGTCCGTGTCAAATTCCGTGTTAATTCCGTAGTTTTTTTGTAGTGTCAGCACAATACTTAGCGAGCATGCACGTTAATCGACGTGCTCCTTTTTTGTGTTTTAATATCATGCTTTTATGTTTAATAGTTCTCCGGTGTACTTTATTTGTTACGTTCTTCCTTTTTCGCTTGTTTCACCTATAAGCTTCTTAATAAAATGGATAGCGACGATGAAGAAGAAATTAAAGGAGTAGAAATGGATAGCGATAAAGAAGAAGAAATCATAAGAACATGAAAGATGATAATTCAAAAGTTTAGTGTTATTCCATACGAGTATAATTTTAATATTCACTATTAGTGAAGTAGAAAAACTTTTTGTATCCCCTAATATTACTCCATTTAGCTTCTCGTATTACTTCAGATGAGCGGGAACAATTAGGAGAGATTGGATTCTCTATTTATTTAAGTATATATAGGATTGTTTATTAGATTAGTATGCCCTCCATGTTTTTTTAATTCAGGGGGGCGTCTGGGGGAGGGGGCTGGGGCTTGGGGTAATCAGGGTTGAAACTCAATTCATTAAATTTCAAACCCTTATATGTCTAGCGAGATTCGAACTCGAAATCTCTCACTAGGCATGATAACCTCACAACCGATTGGGCCGGAATGCTTGGTTGTCCTCCATGTTTTTTATACTAAACTACTCATTTTAATTTTTAGCTTTTTTTTATTGATGAGTTTTAGTTGGCACTTTGACGATACAAGACTTCATTTCCTTTTTCACTGTCCAACAGCAACAAAAAGATTTGCACACCAAACCTAATTGAAGGCATTCACATAGTCACAAGGGCTTATCCTTAAAATGTTAATGGTCGATTTTAAGTCACATCACACTATTATTTACTCCCATATGGCATGTTTCTATACATAATTAATTCCCAAATAAATTTAAAATTCAGTTGACATTTGTATTCTGATACTCGAGTAAGATAGTCATAACATGGATGAAATAGGAGTAGCTAATAAAAAGTTTAAGAGAGTTTATATCATTAATTATTATTTATACGGCATGGAGTTTCGAGTGCACAAACCGGCCATTTTGGATTTTTAGGCATTGAATTTTTTGGGGGTCAATATAATTATGTTTGGAGCTAGTATCATTTCAGTTCCAAATAATTTGAAATTTAATCTACTTAGACAACTAATTTACATATTGTTTTGCTTAGATGAGGAGTTTGAACTTGGTTAGACCTAAAATTAATCAGTCTGATCGATTTAAAAGGTTACTAATTGAAATGTTTCAATCTAACGCTTTAATTTATGCAAACTAATTATATCAACTCTATCATTCCATTCATAATTAATCCTATTCTTTGTTTTTATTAAAATATTTATTTTATGATAGTTGTTTTTCTAACAACTTCTAATCTTCTATCCAATATAATTCCACACAATAATCTTTAAATAGGACAATACACTTCAACTTCAACTCACTTTTTCAAACATTGGCATAGCCTTATATAGTACTGTCCCACTCAACTTTGCAAAATTGATGAAGGGTATGAAATTAAAATAACAAAAAAATATGTGTTTGAGGTTTGTGTAGAGTAGATTGAAATGAACATATTTATAAATTCATTGTTTTAAAAAGAAAGTGGTAAAGTTTTTTGGGACAAACAAAAAAGGAACGGAGGGAGTATATAATAATATTGTGTATTAATTACTCCGCATATAATAAGAGTAGCTTATAATTTTACACATGATTCGTTTCAAACTAAGCTTTTGTTTTTCCTTTTTACATCCGTTCTGATATTCTTTTCTTTATATGGTGACTAATTTGTGATTTATTTTCTTCTCTCAATAACTTCTTTTACTATATTTTACTAATTTGTTCTATTAAATATCAACATCCTTGATTATATTATGATTAGTTTTGAACTTATAACCATCTCTTTTGATGTGTCATAGTAATAATGTAGTATCATTGAACAACAAGGTATTTACTTCCAACACCAACTTTTTTTTAAATCTCTCAACAACTTTTAAAATATTTGCGTCAAGTTAAATCACTTAATCACTCCTTAAATATAGGAGTGAGAGAGAGTATATACGTCGAAGGTACGCCGTTTTCATTCCTAAAACTCGTCAAGGGGGCCCTTGACCAAAATTGGCAAAACAATAAGGTAAACGTCTACTTCATCAATAGCAAGTTGGGGCTTTTTTTCCAACCAGTGGGGAGGGGTCAAATGAGGAAAGTGAAAAGCTATGGCGTCCACTTTAAAGAGAAACAGAACTGTGTACACTTCGAGTAGGTGGACAATCTTAGGACATGTACTAACAAGACAATTTTCTCACAACCCGGAAAATTAGAGAAAGGAAAACTAGAAAATGTGTTTGGATGTTTATTCAATAATTGAAAAACATAGACATATCTCTGATTTTCTTCTTATGGCGGAAAAAACATTTTTTCATGTTTTCCATTACCTATTTTTTTCTCAAAACTTGAAAAACATATGTGTCCGATTTTCTTCAATTTAGTGCTTCATGTATTTGTTTGTGAATTCGATCGCGGTAATTTTAATAAAAAAAACACATATTTTTTAGATCTATGCAATAGTGTTTGTTGAACAATTTATTTTATTTGTTAAATTAGGGGGAAATCATGTTTTTAGGTACCATAATTTTTCCCTTAAAATAAATAAATTTCTAATACTGACTCTGATCGCATAGATCATGAAAAAAAACACTACAAACATGATCTATTGGACATAAGAACCTTGAGGAGGGCTAGGTCCACTTCTTAACATCTGGTTTCCTAAATATTGAGTTCAACAATGCTTGATATATCCACCCTTATACCCACCTTATACCCACCATGTTTATGAAGCTTTTTTTTGTATTTTGTTTGTGCAAAATATTGTCCGTGAATCGATGTTCACAGAAAAAAAAAAAACTTTCACAAACATGGATGGATACAAAAGTGGGTATAAGAGTGAGTACATACATCATTTTTGTATTGAGTTTGTCTAATCAAATGGACAACACCTTTGAACATCCACTGATCCTCGCAGAAAACATCCTCGAAAAGCTGACAGCCCAAGATGTGCATAAAGCCTGGCTTCCCCATCCGCAAGGACCATCTGCACTTCAGTACATTCTAAATTTTTGGCAGAACATCTCGTTAAGAAGCTAGTATTTCCAAGAATTCCAACCAAAAATACTTTTTGTACACACTATTCTGGTGTACACACTTATACACATGTTTGAATAGGTTTTTTTTTCTGTCTGTCCCAGACAAAACGTGTTTTGCTGGGACGTTTTGTCTGGGACAAACAGGAAAAGGGAAAGTTCCCGAAATAGGACTAAAACGGTTTCAAAATTCCAAAATAGGACTGTCGTGTTTTTTATTCTCGAAATATGACTAATTACTGTAATGTTTAGAAAATACTGGCATGTTTGAAGTCTGGTACTGCCAAAAAATGGCAGTAATTAGTCCTATTTTGGGAAGTCCTATTTTAGAATTTTCAAACTGTTTTAATCCTATTTTTGGGTAATATCTCACAGGAAAAACACCTACACAGACGTGTAAAAGTGTGTACACCAAAATAGTGTGTACAACAAGAATGGTCCATTTCCAACATACATCCTATTGAGTTTGCATACAATTTCAATTCCTAGAAGCCTTATTCAACATTTTCACATCTGGGCTTGTTGTTTCAGCCAATTCAAAATTCAAATGCTTATCAAATTGTTCTTCTAGCTTAAGTTTAAGACCGCATTTATAACATTCTGAGGAAGATCATCTAAATGATCGTCAATCATTTCTATCAAATTGTTATAAATGATTTACTCCCTCCGGTCCCAAATGAAATTCACACTTTCCTTTTTGGGTAGGTCCATAATAAACTTCACACTTCTTCTCTCTTCCTTATTTGGCAAATTATCTACATCAAAACAGTGTCAAACAGTGCAAAACAGTGTCAAACAGTGTCACAACATTGTACTCTACAGTAAAGTCAAATTTATTTCCTTAATTTGTGTGAAGTCAAAGTGTGAATTTCATTTGAGACCGGAGGGAGTATAACATCAACCCAATCAGGCTTTTTATATCTCATGCTATAGGCTGTCTTAAGGCATCAGATGTTATAACAGCAGGTTTTGCAAGAACCTGGTCATACTTCTTTGACAATGACGAATTTCCACACACAACTCAAATTCTATACCAAACAGGAAATTAATAAATACGGAGTATATATATGCCCAAACTTTTCTCCCTGAGAGGGTCTAGTGCAAATCGTTTAGAGGATATATCATCATCTCCTAACCTGTGACTTCAGATGGACCCATATTTCAGAAGAGTTTGTCCACCTGAGATCAATTTTTAAAGTAACTTGACAGGTATCCTAATGTTAACTTGAAGGAAATAATCTTAACTATACACTGCATATGTTTCATAATGATTGATAGTAATGGGCATGAATTTGCTAAAACTAAAAGGAATAATAACATGTTTATTGGTAAAATAACTACGGAGTATAACGTAAAAATTGCAAAATTGAAAACCTTTTAAAACTTGAAGAAAAATCTCACATATTTTTCTTAATATAAGTAGGTATATGTGTAGCACAAATCCTTAATGCTAAACCATGGAAAAGATAACCTGCAAATGAAATTACATGAAAGATAAATGAACAAATAGTTGATAATCCAACAACACATCTCATTTAAAACAGAGAGAAAGTTCGAAATAATAGAAATCTGAACCGCAAGTCTGCAATCCCAAACCCAAATGATGTATCTAACTGGGGAAAGTTCAACCTGCAAAAGAAGTTGCATGAAAAAGAAATACATTGTGAAGAGGGTATCGAAATAATACAAACCCTAGAATTGGTAAAACAGGAGTTTAGAGTCAATTCAGAAATATTTGAGTAGATAAAAACTGGTATTAATGGAGATTGGAGAGGAACTGGGTGAATAAGATTTGTACATGTGCGTTTTGGATTTTCCATCATCAAACGTTGGAGAAGAAAGCCTTCACGTGAGAATAAGAAGTGGGAACTCCGATGTTTCAGTAGATATTCGCAAGGCGCTTTCAAGAATTAGAGTTCAAAAATCTGATTTAAGGATCACATAAGAAGGAAATTAGAAAGTTAATATAGCACATTTTGATGAGTCAGTTACTTAGAAGATGACAAGTGGCAAGATTTTCCTTCCTTGTATATTTGAAATGTATTATTTATAGATAGATTATTTATAGATTCATCTGTATAATTATCACAATACAAATCTGTTAATTACTCTTTTAATCAATGAATATATTGAAAAGTGTGCACGAGTTATTCTTAAAAAAATTAATGAAGCAAGTACTTTAAATAGAGTGAGATTGATGATTATGATGAAGAATAACTTGTTCTTTACTTTCTGGTTTAAAAGATGATGTGCATAAAAAGGAAACTACGTTTTTATTGGGTAACCATTGAAATAGGGATCCTTGTGGAAATTATTGCAGGCCCCTCTGTATAGAACGAGCCAGTAAGAGGAGAATTTTGTGTAAACCCTTCAATGTTTCTCATTGCAGTAACAATAGTAACATACATGATCTACAGAAAAAGGAATTTTAGAAGGCACACCAACGTGTTGTATCACTTCTCATTTTTCAGTTTAAAAATTATTGGGCATTTGACTATTCATACACACACACAGAATGTTTCATAAGTTATACTGACTAAAAGATAAACAGCCTAGAATCAGTAGCTCAACATGAAAAGAAAATTATACTTCAGAGGTGGGGGACGCTAATCAAGGAAAAAAAACTCTAATACTTCAACTTTGTATGTTCTAATCAAGGAAATAAACAGCCTAGAATGTGCTCGCATGTTTACTTCATAATTTGCCAAATCCAACCGCAGCCTTCCTTCTTTTGCGAGTGTTTATCCTTTCTGGGCTAGGCAACCCAGTCCTGTCCTCATATTTCTTCTCCAAAGCCTATTAACACCACAGCCATTACTAAGACTTGTAGTTTTCAAAGTACCTTGAAAAGCTATAAATATAAGTTGATGTAATGATGTCACATAGAAGTTCCAAAAACAATCTTGAATATCATTTTAAATAAAAGAGAGATAATATAACTGGACAACTTTTGTACCAACCTCTAAGTCTCCCTGTACACTGTCAAGGACTTCATCAGACATTCGATCAAAGAAAAGAATGCCCTGCGCAATTATTTACATGACATAGTCAAGAGCAGCCTAAGCATTCTGAATAGTAATTTAAACGCTCACCTAACTCTACATCCAAAGTAACATTTTTTGTGAGGTAAATGTGAATTTGTTAAGCCTGATAGATCGGATTTTGGGTTCTGAATCTCTTCAAATATATAAGTGTGACTGTGTGAGGTACACCAGACCTCCTGAGATTCTTCAAGATAAGTTAGACCCAATTTAGTATTGAATGAAATTATGGATGCAATATTGACCATAGTAGGTGGTGCAGTGGCCAGAGTACTAACTGCAGCAACTGTGTTAATGTTGAAATTTACACTGGAATGACCATCATGGTATACTCATAATAATTATAAACACGTTTTAGTCCACAAGTTCTATTTCAATGATAGTTCAGGAAAAAACTCATTCTGGATTAAGCTGGGAGCCTGGGACCACTCAACTTGATAATAAAGATGTCCAACTAAAAGATGGAATATAATCGATTACCTCATTTAACTCACAATCTTATAAACCTATATGTTCTAGTTTAAGAGTCTGATGTGGAACTTTTAAGTGTTAATGCTCCCCATCAAGTAAAAAACCTTGTCATTTTGAGCCTAACCTAGTAGCCAGTTGTTCACTTGCAATCTGTCTTCTTTGGGAATTGATGTTCACATGCAGCAGCAACACTTGGAGAACCACGGGCCATTCATGTGAGGGAGGAACTGGAATTGCATTTTTATGGAATTAAGCAATACCTGACTAGAAGGAAATTGAAAGGACTACTCATTGAACTAAAAAGGAGAACTTCTGCCACATCTCTAACAATGTTGAAACTACTGATCTTGAGTTGAAGGCATAGTATATTCTGATATCTAAACTAGAGAGTGTGTCAATCAAAATTCGAAACTAAAACCAAAGTCAGAAAATTTAGGAGGAAAGCGCGGGTCCTTGTTGCAGTTGAAAGGCCAATCCTAAGCCGGAAGGTATAGAAATCATAGAAGCACTATGCTGTTATATAGCATGACCAAGAGGAACTTCAAGACAAATTTTGTGGCTTCAGTGTATAGAGAGGATTGGATAATATGAGTCATATAACTCACTGGAAGAGGTGAGAAGGAATTCATTACATACTATTTATACTAGTAGCCTATATGGTAGCAATTGGTTAAAACTGTCCAATTACTACCTCGCCAAAATTTGCGAGTAGTATAAATGGAGGTTTAACTTCATTGATGATATCAGACAGTTTCGAACATAATTGCACAGGATTCGACAATGTCAAATGCCTCTAGAGCTTGTGTTGAGGATGAAACTCTTCCTCTTAGTCTATGACAATGAGGAGTCCTCACCAAGAGTGTTTGGGATTGCATTGGGATTTAGGACCTGGAGTGGGACCAAGGAGCAAATGGAAACAATAAGACACAATGGGGTAGATTCAAATAGATGGGGGTGCAATATTTGTGGCGAAGCCTAGAGAGGAGGCATGTGTTTTGTGTACTGCACTTGGAAGTTGGCATGCTGGAAATAGGGGTAGGGGATATTTAGGATGTTTCTCCGTTTTCCCCATTGTAGAGGTCCACAGTACATAGATCAAAATTCATGTCTCTACTATCGTGTATCGTCATTTCCCACATTGATGAATAATAACCAATGTAAGTGATTGCATCACAAAGTGAGGAGATATTCTTTTTTGGGCGGGAATACCAGATGTCATGTGTAACTGTGTAAGTCTCCTTAATAATATATTCTCGTTTCTGATAAAAATGGATTTTGATAATAAAAATATAAAATATAAAATGGCTCTTTTTCGGAAATGAAGCCTGGGAACTAGGATCTTATACCATGTTGAATATTATTCCCTCCATCCCATTTATATCTTTTGAAAGCTTTTTTGGATGTCACAAGATAAACATCGTCTTTATTTATTTGTTTAACTGTTTCTTGTGAAATGATCATATACCCCTTACTTCTCAACCATTAAAAACATCTCAATAAAGAGCATAAAAGGAATTTCCACACACAGAAGAAGGGAAGGAGAGCCAATGAAAATAATAGTCCCTCCGTCCCGTTGGAATGTTCCCATTCACTATTCATTGGTCAACTTAGGTCACTCCTAATCTTTTACTTTATATATCAAATTTTTATCAAATTGAACTTTTCTTGACCAGGCTTTGTAGCGGGTTTAATGTAGTTTCTGAATATGTAAATTTTATTTACTAAAAATAAGCGGAGTGTGAACAGGGATCGAGTTGCTTTATCGTCAGTCAAGCATCGTAAACCGAACGGGAACATTCCAACGGGACGGAGAGAGTATCATTTAAATTTGTCAGAAGGATTATGAAAATAAGCTCATTTAAGATTGGCCGGAAGGGTTGAGAAAAAACCCGTACGAACAAGAATACAGTTCCTGAATCTTTAAAACAAGCACCTGTAAATGATCATATTCGTGCTGGAACACCCTTGCAGAAAACCTCGTAAATCCAACTTTAAACCTTGCCCCATTTATATCCTGTGCATCAACCTTCACAGCATCTGGTCTCTGTAAAAGTAAACATATAGAAAACCAAGTCTGTCACAGTTAAAACTCTAGAAGAGCACTTAAGCATACTTAGCAAGTTCAGGTATCTAGAGGTGAAGCAGCTTGTGGGATTTTTACTAGTTGATTGCAGTTATTTGAGGGATTTCAGTTAAGGTAAATCCTTTTTCATTCTTTGCTGATATCCCCACCCTTTCTGACATACATAAAATACTCCTATAGTTGGAAGATTATGCATTAAATATGTAAGCTGCCACTGAAGTATCACAAGTAATACTTCCACCGATTATTCAGGAAGCATCAAGATATAAATTCATCTAACATTAGATTTGAAAAAAATACTCCACGAGTATCTGGGAAAAAACATTCTAAAACACCCTTAAGTGTATGATAGATAATACACAATGTCATATTGCATTTTCTTAACACATAGATAGACCAACAGAACCAAAAACAGGCAAAATGTCTAGGGAACACTACACAGGGTGTGTAAGTATATTTGTTAAAGTATCCTTCCGAAAAAGAATGGTAAGAATGTAAGATGCTAAATGCATACACATATACTTACCAATTATATCATATCCTCCACGTTGTTAAAAATACATATTGGCACTTCTCATTCAAGGGGTATATGTTATTTCAAAACACGGACCAAGTATCAGCAATGGTAGTACCGTAGTACTACAAGCAGCATATTGCCTTGGATACTCAAAGGTTGCAAGACGATACCATGACCCTGTTGAGGCATATTTATATTTTATAGCCCTACTACGTGTCCATAGGGATGACCCATCGTGTTGAGAGCAGATAGTATGGGCCTGACTCTTCGAGAATTGGTTGCAACTATACTTAAATGGACTTGCTCCTGAAATTATGGACAAGCTCTTGTGCAGGGCATAAAAGGATGGTCTTTGTGATGCCCAAGTCCCACTATAATCCCATCTTCGGCCCCGCACTTTGCTAGAGTGATAAGCATCTCAAAGATTCAATGGGAAATTGGGAATAGTCAAGCTCGACCATTAAGTGAGTCCCACGGATGACTTCTCCTCTGGAATAAGTGGAACTTGCACATGCAAGTGGCCAGGCTCAACAGTTGGACTATGCACCCACCAGTGACTGTCAAGCAAATGTTGTGTATTCCTAGGCAACAGGATTCCCGTCATATCAATTCTATTTTACATTCTAGACTCCACCATATCTTAATCTCTGTGCTCAATGTTTCCTAGTTCCTGCATCTTAGAGTCGCCTATGTCAAAGTCTATCATCTTCATGTCAGCCTAAATCCTAGTGTGTTACGCACTCATGTCAGCATCTTGATTTATTCTTCCATTTCATTTTGTACTCCAGAGTGTCTGTTTCGTTCTTCCTTCAATACTTTATTTCCCAATACGTAAGAAACGAAAAATCCTGTACATAGATGTCCATGACCACAGAAACACCAATGGCATGCCAATGAACGATGGATAAACTTCCCAGAGTAATGGCTACAACAGTACCTCTAGAGAGTCTGTCGTTGCCAAAATTAAGGAGCCGTCCACTCCCAGATGATCCAACAAACATATTGAGCAGCGTCTGAGTATTCCAAGTCAGTTTTCCCGAGGTGGAGCCTAACAGGGATGTTTGTGTTGCTCGCAAAAGTACAACCATGCTCACCTATCTGGTTGACGGTCATGTCTGGAGTATCCACTCCATCATCAGCCATAGCCAGCTTCATCGGTGTGAGGAGAAACCCTTAACAATAGTGAAGGTACTTTGGATCATTTTGTATTACTAATCTACTTGCAATATCAGATACTAAAGGTCTAAAGTATTGGCGTTCATTGATCATTCTAGCACATTTCTTTCCTAGAAGCTACAATAGCTTATATGAAGACTATAAGTTGGCTCTTACTTCTCTTGTGTCAACCTCTCATGTTTCTGGTAAGCCGCCTCTGTGGGAAAAGGTTTAGCAAGTTCTGATCTTTCTCTAAAGGGCAGACCGGTGCACAAAGGCATCCCATAAGGTGAGGGTCCGGGGAAGGGTCCCACCATATCAAGAGAATGGCTTAATTGGTATTACATGATTGTGGTAAACTATGTCAAGTTCAAACTTGACTTTTCAAACAGCATCCACTTGGCATCTGCCTAACGTCCCCATAGCAATGAGTTTGACATTTATAGTATGAAAGACTAGAAAACTACATCTGTATGTAACCACAATAATACCTCTACAAAAGCATAAATCCCAGGAAAAGACAAGCAACCTTCATTGTACAGCACCGCTTTTCTGGAATATCTGGTGACGCGTGGATTTACAAGAACAATCTCCTCTCCTTCACCGCGCTCACCTACTAGATTAAATACCATGAGCTGAATATTAAGTCCAACCTGGGGTGCTGATAGCCCAATTCCGTCAGTGCTGCAAAAAGGGGTATGAAACAAGAGCTATACATGAGTGGGTATGCACAGCAAGCAATGCTACTATCTGTGTTGCTGTTCGAGATTGATAAGGAAAGACCACAAAACTCACCTGTACATTACATCGAACATTTCATCTACAACCTTCTTCAGATTATCATCAAATGAGCAAATTGTTTTATTTTTAGCTCTAAGTATAGGGTCTGGATATTCTACCACTTTCAGGGGGGCCTCAAAACACATATCAGCAGCTAACCAAAAAATTCCAAAACAAATATATAGATCAACTAGTCAATAAAAAAATCTGGAATTGCAGCCTTGGAGAACGTAGAATACAAAAGAGAGAGCTTTTACGAGATGCAAGGTCGTCATTGATGGTTTTAGAAGATAAGCCTCGCCTAGCCTGCGCTCCAAGGGCGAGTGGTGGAAGTTTATTACTGCTTAACGAATGAAAGAAACAGTCGGGTGACGAGAAACGGTGAAAAGGAAACAAGCAGTGCGAGATCAGAGTGTGCGCGCGAGCCTGGGGAGGGAGAAGATAGTGAGACAAGGAGTGAAGCAAAGTCGCACCTGCCATTGCCACGAGAAAAAATTAAAATTAAAAAAATCAGTATATCGATTCAATATTCCCATCTTCTTTGTTACTGAGCGGGAGTATTTGTTATTTTGCTTACACTCCCAATTCTTCTCGTAATTTCGTTTTTTGTTCATTTAAAATAATTTTTCATTTCTCTTTCCATAAAGAATTTGTAATTTACAATATTTTTTATTTTTCAATTGTCTCTCCCGTCTACATAAACTTTCTCTCTCTAAAGAGCTGCGGTCATGGTCCCTCTACGTAGGATTTTGTTTTCCCGCAAATCTTCGTTGATTATGCGTGGGCTTGTCAATAGGTCGGGTCCAAACCCAAACCCGACCCGGGTCCGTCTATTTTTCATGGGTATGGATCTACATTTAATTCTGTTATCCGGACCCATTATTTAATGGGTTTATCCAGACCCGTTATTTAATTGATCAGATATGGTATATGTAGTTCTGACCCGTTTAGGACCCGACCCATTAATATGTACTCGTATTTATATACATACATTAGTCTAATATACTTATATACATATTACATTAGCTGCAACCCACATTAAGATTTAATTTAATACTCCGTAAATCCGAAGAAGGATTCCTAGAGACCCTAGCCGCAGACGGAACATGATTCAAGAAAAAGGCTATTTACTTTCCAAAGTCATTAATTTTACAAAGAATGCAAATAGGCTCATAGAAAGTCACACTCACACCGATACACTCATACGGCCTGTGTTGGGTGGAGTGTTTTGAAGTGTTAGTAATGAAGTGTTAGTAAGTGTTAGTAAGGGCCCGGAAGGGAAGGGAAGTATAAGTGTTAAACATAATTTTACCTTGTTTGGGAGAGTCAAATAAATGAAGTGTTAATAATTTTACCTTGAGCCAGACGAAACGAGAAAGGAGAAGAGATGAAAAAGGCAGACCATCAGACCTGCGGCAAAGATATTCGAAGTGAGATGTCGAAGCATTTTGTGTCTTTAGGGTAAATGAGAAGTGTAATAATTGTCAACACCTCAAAACACTCCAAATCGAGGTGTTAAAAAAGTGGACAATTGAGGTGTTTGGGAAGGTTATTGTTAACACTTCTTAACCTATACTAACACTTCTTAACAACTCTTAATTTTTCTCCCAAACAAGTGTTAGTATCAACATTTACTAATATTTCCATTACTAACCCTCCCTAACACTCGATCCAAACAGGCAAGGGCCTAACCTCTCATACTAAGAAGCCAAGGTCGCCGGACTGCAAGAGCTCAACAACGCTTGTAATAGAAGCATCCGAGTGAGAGCGAAAGTTGCCGTTTGCCGGACTGCAACAGCTCATACAACGGGTGATTGACTGCCATCCTTGAATAAAAGGAGTAAGATCATACTTATCTTAATAATTTTTTCTCTTATAAACTTTAAGTTTGGTGACTAATTTAATTTATACTCCGTACATAGTATGTTATTCTAGAGTACGAGGACGAACAACAACACTTCGAAAAGTCATCCAAATCTACCAGATTATCATAATTGAGATGTGTAAGATCATTCTAAGTTCTTTTACAAAATGAATATCATAAAAAGGGGTTTGACTTGATGATAGATTACATTTATTGTTAACAATTCTATATTTCTTTTTCAATTTTCAGTTTTGTTTTTGCGGGGAGACAGGGAGTTGTAGTAGAAAAACATTGAAAGAGTGATAACTCTTGTGCTAGAATGTTTTTGCAGAATGCAAAGCATGAAAGGATTGCTCTTTTCAAAGTGAAATCAACTCACTGGAGTTGTGCTTTTGGAATTAAGCTTTTCTAAAAGTCAGATGGAGTTATTTTGGATTTTGTTATTTTTATTATAATAGATTCAAAGAGGCTTTTGGATAAAGCTTATGTTTTTGCAGAACTTATGTTTATTCTCCAATGACCCGGTGCAACCTTATTTGTTACATTAAATTTAATTTTTGCAGAACTTACGTTTATTCCACCGTGGCTCAATGCACCTTATTTGTTACATTTTGAACTGTCATGTTTAAATTGTTGTGTTTGGTTGAGTAATTACAGACAAGTAATTACAGTTCATGTATCATATTGTTGCCAAAAAAGTACGCGGTAGTAAGATGTCCTGTTATTTACTAGTATTTAAGAAATTAGAATTGTATTTTCGTGAAATTACTCCAATTAAAAATATTGTATACGTCTTTCACCTTTTTACCCATAGGTATACATATATTCCTAGTGCTAAAGATGTTAAAAATATAATAAATAATTCATTAAATTTTTTATGGAAGTGTATCATACGATAAGAACTAACTGTTAAGAGCCCCGTGAGAACCCAGATTCTCATAGTATCAGTCTTATCAATCATTTTTTAAAATGTAACTTTTGATTTTGTGTACGCGTTGAATTGTGTTATAATCAAAATAAGTAAGGTTAATTTTACGTTTCTAGCTAAATCATTTGAAATTACGGTAGAAGACGTACCATTTTAGCTTTTGCTATATTTTTTCTTTTTTATTAATAAAATACGAAGTATATTTTAAATATAATACTCCCTCCATCTCATAATGTCACGCCCCGGACCTACCCGGACACGTCAACAACCCACCGTACAGTACGAATAGTCAACCGCAGTCCGACTCATCCATACTATACAAGGCGTCTTGAATACCATTCACACATAGTACATCCATAAACAAACATAATGTAAAACATTTATTAAAGCAGCGGAAACAATTGATACAAGTGTTCAAGCCACACTTGGCATAATTAGGCATGCAAGCCCCCAAAGTAATTATTCAGAAAATATTATCCATGAGCATTATTCATATTGTTTTCAAAACGAGAACGGAAGAAGCACGAACCAAGTCTTCTTCTCGGAAACTTCCCGAACAGCGGCTGGTAGTAGCAACCTTCAAGTTCTACCTGAAACTGTGAGGTGGCCTCCCCCATGAAGGGGAGGTCAGTACTTGGAAGCATTTGACAAGTACAATGACAACTATACTAAGTATAATCGAAGTTTAAATCTCTAAGGCCCTCAATCTAGAGCATCATTACATTATAGTTAATCCGTTCATTTAGTATCAATTCATCATTATTTACTACGGTCTAGAGCCCAGCTCATAATCACCGTTATCTACTACGGTCTAGAGCCCAGCTCATAATCACCGTCATCTACTACGGTCTAGAGCCCAGCTCATAATCACCGTCATCTACTACGGTCTAGAGCCCAGCTCATAATCACCGTCATCTACTACGGTCTAGAGCCCAGCTCATAATCACCGTCATCTACTACGGTCTAGAGTCCAGCTCATAATCACCGTCATCTACTACGGTCTAGAGCCCAGCTCATAATCACTGTCATCTACTACGGTCTAGAGCCCAGCTCATAATCACCGTTATCTACATCGGTCTTGAGCCCGGCTCATAATCACCGATTCTTTATAATTCAAATTCTTAGGATCTAATTCATCCATTTCTCAACTAACATTTCCAACTAATATTTCAATGCTAGTCATTTATTTATTTCAATATAATTCTTTCTTCATGCATGATTGGCCTTAATATCAAGTATCACTTTTATACCTTCATAGCTTTTCTTCATGGTATCAAAGTATACTATCTCAAATGAAATTCATGGGGGGTACAATCATCATACACTTATATTCATAACATCTAAACATACACAATTTATTCATAAATTTGTATATCATGCATACTATACTTCTAATCAATAGTAGTTTTATTTAGGCATTATTTACCATTAACAACCCATGCACATCACATTTGTATTCACTTAGGAAATCCCATGAGATTAATCCAAAGATTATAAGTAACATAGTCGGTCATCCTCACCTTAATTAAACTTAAGCGCGTTCTATGCTTCTCGACTGAACTTTGACTAATTCCGGCGAACTTTGACCAACTCCGGCGAACTTTGACCAACTCCGGTGAACTTTGACCAACTCCGATGAAACTCCGGCGAAGCTCAAAAATACTTTAAATCAAGTTCCTAACAAGGTTTTATCATCACAAAACCCATATCAACACAAATAACCTATAAAAGGTTATTTTCCGGCAAACCGGTCGATTTGGCTTCTAAGTCCGTTTTTGGACTTAGAATCACTTTCCAACCCATTATTCCACACTTAAATCATGTAGAACAATACTAAAGGTCTTTCATATGATATATATATTATATGCTAGAAGAAAAACAAAGGAAAAGTTATGATAAGGTCATTACCTTAATTTTCACACTTTTTCCTAGCTTTTTCCTTCTTAAACTTTCTTCTTGGACTCCCTTGAGCTTGAGTTCGGATTTGGGGCTATGGAGATGAAGTTGTAGAGGTTCTTTCCTCCTTTCCCTTGCTGCTGGCCGAACTAGTGAGGAGGGGGATGGATAGGAATGCCCCTTTGTCTCCTTTTGGGCAATGAGTGAAAGGGAGGAGGGCCACCATGATTTGTTTTGATGCCAAACATCTCAAATCAGTCCTCTCCCACCTCAACTCTCCTACCAGCCTGCTCAGGCCCTGAATAATGAGGCTAAAATCGTGGGTTGGCCCCCACCCATGTGGGAGGTCAACCCTTTTTGTCCAGAAGTGTACAATCGGTCCCGAAAGTTGTATTTTTCCGGACTGTTTTAAGTATATTTTATTTTATCGGGTCAAATAAAGTATAACACTTGTTCCCAATTCTTAATGGACCTTAGAATCAATATGCATCCCTCAACTTTAATTTAGAAGTCTCCGAAATCCCTTTTCGGGCTGTTATCTGATAGATTGCCGATACTGATAATTTGGCCCCGTTTGACCAATCGGTCAACCCTATGCCATTGTCATGGCTCAACTAGGATATCCACCACCATATACATATTATCTAGTCCAAGATCAATATAATATGTGGCTCCGATAATATCGGGCGGTCCCCACTCCTGATGTGGGCCCCACGTGCATTTTACTATTCACGCGAAAAAAAAATTAATACAAATTCACAACTTCGTAAATTCACTAAAAACTTTATAGGGTTCAATAAATTATTCGCTTAAAGATAAATACATTTGGGGACGGTGTTACAAGT